ATAGGTTTTACGAGGAGCATCTTGTTTGGTTCAGGTTCCGGCAAGGAACAGAGTAATACTGAATAGAAGAGAACAGAGAACACAACCAACGAAAGCTTGTCATAACCTGGGTCTTAAACTGCAAAAACATCAAGACAAATATTCATGTGTGGGATGACACCGAGGTCATCGCCACGGCCAACACAAAACGGGCGAGAGAATTCCTAGAGGTATGGTGCTCTAACGCGGAAAGCATCAACCGCCACGTTGACCTAGACGCCCATTATGAGGGCCTGAGATCTCGCCTAACTAAGCCGAGCCCCATGCCGCATCAGCGGCCGTTAATCCAGGCGCCCGCAGTTCCGCCAACCTACCATTCTCCCTCCCCTCCAACACGGGGTGCCTTAACTGTTTTCTCTCCCCCCCTTCCTCTCATCCCGGCTCAGAACTCAGCATGACTCCCTGCCCGCATCCCTCTTCACATGCCTATGGTCCACCCGTCAAAGCTTGTCCTTTCGCGCCTGCTGGTCTAGTGTGAGGGTCTTACTCTCTCTTTTATCTTCTTTTCGTCTGACGACGGGTTGGTGTCACCAATTCGAAAATTCACGAGTACAACTCGTACAACTCCGAAGAACCTCTTCTTTTTCATACATATATATAGGTAATATACCGTACTCTCGACATAGATACTTGCTAAAAGCCCAGACACGTGTTTCGCCGATATTCTGCCGCTGCGTGACACAGCTGCGAGGGGTTCGGCTCTTCAGTGGGACCCCCAGCGTTCTCTAGCGGTTTCTGGTATATGAACTCCAGAGAATAATCAGGTGAATACTTTCCGAAATTAATCAGTGCAGGACTTGGAGTTAAATCTCCTGGACATGACTTTTAGGGTCAGAACCGAAAGTTCAATGAACATTTGTGTCGAAGACAATCAACTACTGTGGAATAACCACGTAATGCCCATTCTACAAACAAGTAGTACTACGAGTAGTATGAATTCCATATGGTATAGGTATTATACCGTACTCCCGACATAGATACTTGCTAAAAACCCAGACACGTGTTTCGCCGATATTCTGCCGCTGCGTGACACACATAGGATAGTAGTGCACTATACATCATGCAATATCGCAACGAGTGTGTAAATGTTGCATAAATTAATAATTACGCAAAACATTTACAGCAAAATCTAAAGACCGGGAATGCGGAACAATCAAAGTGAGCTCTAAAGTATGCGCTCGAGAGAGATAAAGCGTAAGACTTTCGAAGTGTAGACACAATACCGATGCTTAACTGCCAAGTAGCACCAGAAAACCATAGACGCGCAGAAGACGTTGATGGAAAAATGAAGAATAAAATGTCCTTGTCCTCTCAGGCAGAGAAGGGTTAACCTTGTTTGGGAGAAATTCTGGATTTATGGGCAAAATCCTTAATTAACTTTACTATTATGTGCCTTGCTTTCTTATCTTATATACTGCGCTCGTTAAGGCAATTTGTTATTTTGAAAGTGCAAGTGCCGATTGATCGCTTATAAAAGTATAAAGAAAGATTGCTTCTAACTCTCTATCTTCCTCTGTTATTGTGTTTAAAAAAACCAAATGATATGAGTAGTTATATACAAACCATTCCACTGTTACGATGTTTCAGGCGGACTGCATGGCCATAAAGCAACGTCCGGTGGCTCGAATGACTACTCTAGAGAAGTCAAGAAGACAAGCATTTAGTTAGTATATTGTGGCCATTTATTGGATCAAGAAAGACCGCTCCACGAAAATTTGCCAATTTAAAGATATTTGAAACTTTAAATACACGAAAACAGTTTTTTATAGCTCGAGTAACAAAAAAGTAACTACGTGTTTGGACTTATAATGCATAAATAATCTGAAGTTTTGTAAAGTCAAAGTTATACGCCACGATCCCAGGTTGGCTAAAAAGCAAATGCTGTCTAATTTCAGTTAAAGCAGATAAATACCATCTAACTTCAGGTTTCTGCATAGTGACATTCAAGGTTTTTTACATTTGCACTTACATCCGAAAGTTCGCTTTTACTGGAAAGCATTTCCTGAAGAGCGCGTGCGGACAGTGCCTGTTCCAGCAAAAACACGCAAGGTGGCATATTTGGCGGAGGAGTCTGAACGAAAGGAAGCATGATATTATCGAGAAACGTTTGGTAAAAGAATACGTTGTTGCTATTTACGCCTAGGTTTAAAGGAAAGAACGGTTTGTTTGGTATTGGTGCTTCAGGTCACTTTTGTGAGGCAGAAAGTTATAAAAATGTTAGCAAAGTAAAACAGTTAATAAAAAACTTTTTGTCAAATTTCTCGGATTTGTTTTACACTTTACAATTAGTAAGTCTCAATTACCTATGTGAACTTAAATTTAATGATTTCTGGGCTATGTGTACGCAATAGTATTCAAATTTAACTACACAGTTAATATTAAACGAGTTTGCAGAATTAGAGTAAAGTTGGTTTCCTTATGTAAAACAAATTCCTTCGAGGTAAACGTTGTCATACAACAAGGTCGTACTCACAAAACTCTTTACTATTTTTCAAGCAAACTCTGGAGTTACGAAATTCATTATAAATCAACGCAAAAGCATACGATATGCTCGAAAAACAAGCTAAAGAGCGCGGGAGTATGATCATATAAGGATGCTCGAAAAGGTCAACATAACGAAGGCAATATGGCCTTTTACCTCCCGTGCGATGCATTCGAGTGAACACATGCGATTTCCAAATCCCTCGGCCCCAAGACATAGACGCTCAGCAAGTCCATGAGAAAGGCAACTCAGGCAAATGAAGTCACCCTAAAAATCAAGTCATCTCGAATAAAATCGTTTACTGTTCTCAAGAAGGATATCTCTTCTTCGGCCATTCCAGGTGTCCTTCAGAAACGCGAAACCCGAAAGCGAGCCTGCAGGAGTGACCCTGAAAAACTACTGATTCAAACACTTTCAAGGACTTTGCACCTGGTAAAGGTTGTATTTAGAACATATGCGAGAACGAACATTCTGTAATATTTCTACACTTTAACATGACTATGTTTTGGACCCAAATCCAGTCTAGGTATTACGACGTCTGTCGGAATTCAATTAATGGTTTTTGGAGTTCTCACGCGTCCACATTTTCTGGATATTCCTTGGCCTGTAAAGCTATCATATTTAGGGACTTCATAATATCAAATATTTGCAACAAAGACACGATTTCCGTTTATAATCCCATTCACTTATAAGCAAGAGTGATTTTGCGAAAAGCAGCATATCTTATGGTGTAGAAGTTTGATCGTAGTTACCTTCTGAACTTGTGAGTTCATATGGTACATTCGTTATTTCAAATGTTCCAGGAGCCGTCGTGGCTTATTAGCAATAATTAGTCCTATTGTGTCTGGCTGGTTCACAGCTCATTCTTAACTTCGTTATTGGCCTCTCATGTAACTTCGATCGTAGCTTATCTTTTCTTTTAAAATCTTCAAAGTTGGAATTTGTGGACTCCAATTACAAAAGTGTCATATGTGAAAGGACAAATAGCATGGCAAAATTTCCACATTCCACTGTATACCTGACTGTTCACACAGACAATTGCTGCCTACAGTGTTTGCATTTTGCCAATTGACCCAGTGGTGAAGTTACTTGAATACTGTCCTTTGAGCGTTTAAAGATGAAAAATTAATAACAAAAAATGAACTTCCGTAACCTGGAGGATGAGTGCGTCGTCCGAGTCCTTCTGCCATCCCACCCTTTTTTACCAGATAAATATGGAATATTGGTTCGTTTGGCGCTCGCAATCAACAAATGAGAACTTTACAATCAATGCTCCGATGTGAGGAATTCTCATATGTGACAAGATAGTTCCCTTCTGCCAAGAACCCTATGATTATCCTTTTTGTTTTTGCGAATGAGACAAAGGTCAGCCAACATGACTTCTCGGTATTCTATCGGCTCATTTAACTATATTTCGTTTAGAGCTACAAAGAAGGTTTGGAAATGGAGAACGGGCAGTTTGTTTTCATCCAACTTGTTAAATAGAGTCTGCGCATTTATGCAAATTATGTCGATATCTGGATTTCTTCAATCCCTGATATTGACGGTTGTCGCTAGATATTCAGCACGGACTGTTCAACTTATTTTTTAATTTAGATTCTATGTCATGCCATGTTTTGGTGTCATCCAGACACCCGAAGCAAATGAAGTCAAAGTGCAGGTGAAATTGACGAGTTTGTTTTAGGTTTTTTCCTGAGTTCAAAGGGGACTGACAATGCCCAAGGGGCGCTACAATAAACCTATTCTATTCTATCCACAAATATGAATCAGATATGGTGCAATCCCGTCATAGGCCACTGATATGTGTAGACTGGAAAACGTGATGGACTAGTAATGGAGTACCGAGATAACAACATTTTACTTGGGACTGAATCTAATACCCGTTGTTGTCGCACTTCTTTTGACTGACTGAGAGTTGTTTACCAGTTTACTTGTTTCACTGGCTCCGGATTAACTAGCAACTGGGCAAGCGAAACACAGATTCGTGTATGATTCGGCCATCTTCGTGTTTATAGCACTTCCTCCTGGGATTCCGTGTTGTCCGTCCGGAAAGGTGCTCTTAGGTTCATTCAAAGCCTCCTCTTGAATATTCTGGCTTGGATTCGGCCGACAAGGCGTTCCAGTATCTCTATTGTTCAACATAACTGGGAGCCTCCGGCGGTCCTTCGTAGGACTCCTGGCCGTCTTCCACAGCTGGTCTGCGTGTATGTAGACGGCCTTCGGGGGTGTAGGAGTGTCAGCGGTGGGTTTACGTGAAGATCGTAGTGGTCGCTCACTTGCTTGCAGGTGATACTACGCCTAGCGTCCACTTGCTGGCACTCAACTCTCACCTGTGGCTCGACGTAGCTGGGCTCTGCACAGCGGCCACGCGGCGGGCAACCGCCTCGACCAGCGGGCTAAACCAGGTGAGGGCGGTTACTCCCTGTGCGCGTTGTGCCGCGTGCACACGTGACTGCGGATTCTGTGGACGGTTTGTCGGATGGAACACCGCGTTGGCGCCGTCGTGACAAGGCTCTGTCTGGCCCACCGTTGGTCAGCCGGCTGGTGGTGGAACGTCGCATCGGCATCGTCGAGACCAGGCTCCACCTGGTACGCCGTGGATCAGCCGGTGGGATGGATATCCGAATTGGCACCGTCGACACGCGCCCATCTGGTGCACCGTAGGAGACCGCAGGCTTGCGGCAATGCCGTAAGCCACTGGCAAATTCGAGTCGTTCTTCCACTGCCAAAAAACTCGTGGCCCACAGTGGAGTTCGGCAGCGCCGGCACATCAAGCAGCCCTATTCAGGGTCAGGGCACTGCTTCCTTCGGGGCGGGCCTGGAAAAGCTGGCCTAAAAATGGCTTGGGAACCACGTCGTCTGCTGGCGCACCGTGGTCGCAGACGCAAAACTCACGGTCGAAACAATCAAAATCGAGACAACAACAACAACCATACTCATTCTCCTCATCCTACCTCTTCTTCCTCTTCCTCCGTCTATTCTTCTGCCTATTCTTCTCCTTCGTCATCTTCTTCTCCACCTCCTTCCCGTCGCCCCACTCGTTGTCACCAGACTGGCAGGGTGAGCGCGCTCACTCTGGCAGCCTGGAATGTTCGTTCCCTTTTAGACAATCCGAGAAGCAACCGACAGGAACGGAGGACGGCGCTAGTGGCACGAGAACTGGCGCGCTACAAGGTGGACATCGCCGCACTCAGCGAGACCCGATTCTCCGAACAAGGCCAACTGGAGGAGGTGGGTGCCGGCTACACCTTCTTCTGGAATTGTCGACCCAAGACAGAGCGACGAGACGCGGGCGTCGCCTTCGCCATTCGGAACGACATCGTGGGACGACTGCCCTGTTTGCCGCAGGGCATCAACGATCGCATGATGAGCCTCCGTCTGCCTCTCCGGGGTGGGGGCGAATTCGCCACCATCATCAGCGCCTACGCTCCGCCGATGAGCAGCCCCGACGCCGCCGCCGCATGAGACAAGTTCTACGAGGACCTGCATGCCCTCTTGGCGACTGTGTCGAAGGCGGACAAGTTGATTATCCTTGACGACTTCAACGCCCGCGTCGGCACAGACCATACTGCCTGGAGAGGAGTGCTGGGTCCCCACGGTTTCGGCGGCTCCAACGACAACGCTCTGCTGCTTCTCCGCTCCTGCGCAGAACACTGCCTCACCCTGATGAACACGTTCTTCTGTCTGCCGGAGCGAGAGAAGGCCACCTGGAGGCATCCTCGGTCGCGTCAGTGGCACTTGCTGGACTATGTCCTCGTCCGGAGGCGAGATCAGCGGGACGTGCTGGTGACGAAGGCGATCGCAGGTGCTGACGGGTGGACCGACCATCGCCTCGTCATCTCGAAGATGCGTATTCGCCTACAGCCTCGCAGGAGACCACAAGGTAAGCGACCCCCAGGTAAGCTGAATGTTGCCTTGTTGTCTTTGCACGCCCACCGTCTTCATTTCAGCAATGAGCTAGCTCAAAGGCTAGACAACCTTCCTATCGCTGCCGCCGACGACGCCGCCGCTGCCGAGAACGCCTACGTGGAGAACCGCTGGGGTCAACTGCGAGACACGGTCCAGTCGACGGCGCTCGCCGTCCTCGGTCGCGCTCCCCGCCAACACCAGGACTGGTTCGACGACAACGACGCCGCCATCAGAAATCTGCTAGCTGAGAAGAACCGCCTACACAAAGCCTACGTAGATCACCCCACTGAGGACAACAAAGCTGCCTTCTACCACAGTCGCCGCCAACTTCAGCAATGTCTGCGCCAGATGAAGGACGCCTGGACTGCTCGCAAAGCTGAGGAGATTCAAGGCTACGCGGACCGCAACGAATGGAAGAACTTCTTCTCTGTGATCAAAGCTGTCTACGGTCCGCCGACGAAGGGTACTGCTCCTCTCCTCAGCGCCGACGGCAGCGCTCTCCTGACTGAGAAGACGCAAACCCTACAGCGATGGGCCGAGCATTTCCGAGGCGTCCTCAACCGCCCCTCCGTCATCTCCGACGCCGCCATCGAACGTTTGCCGCAAGTGGAGACCAACGTGGACCTCGACCTCCCGCCATCTCTCCAGGAGACCATCAGGGCCGTGCAGCAGCTCTCCAGCGGGAAAGCACCCGGATCGGACGCAATCCCTGCTGAGGTCTACAAGCACGGAGGTCCCAAACTCATGGATCACCTGACTGCGCTCTTCCAGGAGATGTGGCGTCAATGCGAAGTCCCGCAAGATTTCAACGACGCAACAATCGTGCACCTATACAAGCGAAAAGGGAACCTTGAAGAAGAAGACACGATCGCCGGGACAAGAGCTTTATTAGCCTGACGTTTCGGATTCCTGCTCGAATCCATCATCAGAGACATAAGCAGATAAAGGTGGTTCATGCACATGTGGCTGCAGTATTTATAGGATGCAGTAGCCATGCCACCGCATACCTATGAATGTTCACGGCTCCCTCCCCTTCATCAGGGATCGTTGCACGTGGCGTGATGGTCGATATTCGCGTCGTTAATTGCTGCGATTTCATCACGTGCGTTGGATGTTGGTGTGATGATTGCTCGACCATCTGACGCGCTGACCCGGGTGTTGGGAAGAGTGTTCATCAGGGCGCTCTCCGCGTGGCCAATTTCTCCGCCTAGACGAAGTCTCAGCACGCTGTATTGAATGGGAAGATCATTGCACTTCATCGACCATCACGCCACGTGCAACGATCCCTGATGAAGGGGAGGGAGCCGTAAACATTCATAGGTATGCGGTGGCATGGCTACTGCATCCTATAAATACTGCAGCCACATGTGCATGAACCACCCTTATCTGTTTATGTCTCTGATGATGGATTCGAGCAGGAATCCGAAACGTCAGGCTAATAAAGCTCTTGTCCCGGCGAACGTGTCTTCTTCTTCTTCTTCTTCTTCTTCTTCTTCTTCTTCTTCTTCAAGACTGCTTCCTGGGACTCGTCTTTTCGCTTCCATTGAAAAGGGAACCGCCAAGTCTGCGACAATCACCACGGTATCTCCTTGCTGAACATCGCCGGGAAGATCTTCGCTCGCATCCTTCTCAACCGCCTCAATAATCATCTGGAACAGGGCCTTCTGCCGGACAGCCAATGCGGCTTCCGTCGTCATCGTGGGACCACGGATATAATCTTCGCCGCCCGCCAACTTCAGGAGAAGTGTCAGGAGATGCGGACCCATTTGTACTCTACCTTCGTGGACCTTACGAAAGCCCTCGACACGGTGAATCGTGAAGGACTGTGGAAGATCATGCAGAAATTCGGCTGTCCGGAGCGATTCACTCAGATGGTGCGTCAGCTGCACGACGGTATGATGGCGCGAGTCACGGACAACGGAGCTGTCTCAGAGGCATTCGCAGTGACCAACGGAGTGAAGCAGGGGTGCGTGCTGGAGCCTGCTCTCTTCAGTCTTATGTTCTCTGTCATGCTGATGGACGCCTACCGCGACGAACGCCCCGGGATCCGCATCGCCTACAGGACGGACGGTCATCTCCTGAATCAACGGCGCATGAACATCCAATCGCGCGTATCCACAACAACCATCCACGAAATCCTCTTCGCCGACGACTGCGCCCTGAACGCCACATCGGAAGAGGAGATGCAACGGAGCATGGACCTATTCTCCGCCGCCTGCGAGAACTTTGGTCTGGTCATTAACACGCAGAAGACGGTGGTGATGCACCAACCGCCACCCAAATCAGCCACAGCCCCCAACGCGCCGCCGCAAATCAGCGTGAACGGAACCCAACTGCAGGTGGTGGAGAACTTCCCGTACCTGGGCAGTACTCTCTCCCGCAACACCAAGACCGACGACGAAGTCGTCAACAGGATCTCGAAAGCCAGTCAAGCCTTCGGTCGCCTCCAAAGCACAGTTTGGAATCGTCATGGTCTCCAACGAAGCTGAATATGTATAAGGCCGTCATCCTGCCGACGCTACTGTATGGAGCGGAGACTTGGACGGTGTACACGAGACAGGCACGCCGACTGAACCACTTCCACCTCAGTTGTCTTCGTCGCATCCTGAGGCTGAACTGGCAGGATGGCATCCCCGAAACGGAAGTAGTGGAACGAACAGGAATCCTCAGCATCTACGCCATACTGAGACAAATGCAGCTGCGCTGGAGCGGCCACCTGGTGCGCATGGACGACGAGCGATTATCCAAACGACTCTTCTACGGGGACGTCGCGACGGGTTCTCGCCGTCAAGGAGGCCAAATTCGCCGTTACAAGGATACCCTGAAGTCCTCCCTGAAGCGTCTGCAAATCAACCCGACCAACTGGGAAGAGCTCGCACTCGATCGACCGACCTGGAGGAGGACAGTGAAGACAGTCGCTGCGATCAACGAAGCCAATCGCATCGCTGCCTCCAGGGCGAAACACGAAGCCCGCAAATCACAACTCCGCCCAGTGCGCAACGCCGCCGCACAACCGCTTTCAACGTGTCCTCGGTGTCAACGGACATTCCGGGCTCGAATCGGACTAGTTGGACACCTTCGGATCGACTGTGCCTCTCGAACTGCACCAAACATCGTCCCCCCGCCTCTTCTTCCCCTCCGCCGCCAAATAACTCTGACATTTCTTCTCAACCACCACTTTCATCCGCCTCCTCCTCCTCCATCGCTTCCCAACGGCGGCCGCTCCGGCGGCCGTCTCGCACATCACCAACCGCGACACAACAACAGACACCACCCCCACCTCTCCCGACTTCAGCGATGAGGACCAGGACTATACCTGCCCTCACTGCGATCGCACCTTCGACTCACGCACCGGCCTGGTCGGTCACTTGCGGATCCATCGCACAGAGACTGTCGAGCCAGTGCCTGGAGCACCAGCCTATACCCACCGCACTCGCCTCCACTGCCCAAATTGCCCTCGCACCCTCAGGCATCGCATGGGCCTATTTGGCCCTATGCGCATCCATGAGAGCGGCAATGACCGCACTCCCGACACACCCACGACATCCAACACATCCACCACCCCCAGCTCCACACTCGCTCCACCGCCACACGCGCCCATCACCACCACCACCACCAACACCACCACCACCACCACCACCACTAACACCACTGCTTCCTCTACAGTTGACACCGACACCGCCGACCTCTCATGCCCACATTGCCCACGCACTTTCACCTCACGCATCGGTCTGGTCGGTCACTTGCAAATCCATCGCACAGAGACTGGCGAACCAGTGGCTGGAGCACCAACCTACACCCACCAAGCTTGACTCAACTGTCCACACTGTCTCCGCACTTTCAAGCACCGCATGGGTCTATTCGGTCACATGCGCATTCACGACGACCTGCGGTAGACAACCGCCGGTTACACCACACATTCACACACTCCATTCCCTCCTCCACCATCACCACTACGCATCAACACTCACCCACCGCATGCACCAACGGCCACCTTCCACGCAAGTGGGAAGTGTGCATCTCGACTCGGTCCCCATGCGGCCTCGGCTGCACGGGTGACTTGAGTCCGAGGCTATCCCGACACCTCAAGTGTCGTGTATAGGAAGGTTGCTGATTGACGCCCGTTCTCGTTTCACGCAGTTCGTCACGTTGTGTGTGTGTTGTGTGGAGTGGCGAACTGGTGGGCAGGGGACGGGCTGAAGCAGCACCTTCCACGGCCCTCTCACGCAAGTGAGAGTCTAGCCGCTCAACCCCCGTTGTGTGAAATCTGGTGTTTGTGTGTGTATGGGGGGCCAGGTCGTGCTGTGGCGCGCTCAGGCATGGTCAGTCGACCGTGTCAGGCACCGCGCCCATTTCCTACTTCAGTCTGCTGACCGGCTCGGACAGTGGCTGGGGTGTGGGGATGGGAAGGGAGAGTGAGGTCGACGACTCAGCGCACTTTCTCCTCACTATAAACAATCTGACGCGCTTGAAGCTATCATGGTGGGCTAAAAGCCATGGCTTGGAAGGTTGCCAACTGACGGGGTACCTTGGACCTCCTCCTTCACTGGAGGCGGTCTGAGAGTCAGGCTGCAATGGCTCTTTTTTAATGTGGCCTTTATGGCACTCCCACCACAGTGCGGGATCCGAGCCAGGCGTCGGCGGCGCGCCCAGGTGCGGCTTCGGCCGTGCCAGCCTCCAAATGTCTGTTGTGTTGGTTGAACTCCTGGTTATTGTTGTGTGGACCAGGGGGTGTGGTGGAACGCCTAGGTGAGGATCAGTCCGAGCCATCCACCTCCCTCGTCTCCGGTCTTTTTGACTCTGTCTTGACACCGGACTCAGGTGGGGGAGGAGGAGAGAGTGTAGGTAGATGCAGCGCAAGTCTACCCGCACTATAAACCCCTGCGCAAGTCACCGTCCCTGCTCCCACCTGCTGTGGGGCACACTGTGGACATCATCGAAATCGATGGGCGAACTGTCAGACTGCCTTCGCCTTTTGACCGTACGGAAGTATGTGTTATTTTCCTGGGTTGTTCCTTTGTTCTCTGACTTCTTTGTAGCTTGGCTCGCCTAAGAGACTGACACCAAATTGTGTCTAGTTCTTTGGACGAACCTTCCCCAGGTTCAGCTTTAGTAGGGCTAGAGAAGCCGCGGTTGCATATGCTTTTTTCGCATTCTGGATTGCCGAATTCTTCGGTTTCTTCTCTTCACGTAAGCGGTTAGTAAAATCCCTTAACTTTTCGACCTCTACTTTTAGACTTTTTAACTCCCCCTCCATTTCGGAAATTTATGGATGAGTCCGAAACATGTGGTACAGGTTTCGTCGTCGTATGTGACATTCCCCCAACGTCACTAGATTTTTTGCCTGTTTTACGGGCATTGGTCTGACAGCAGAACGTCAAACACTGTAGTCGTTAACATAATGTGATATGCATGATTCATCATTTGTTTTGGCCAGGCTGGCGCGAGTCACTGGCCTAGTGGTGATAACAGCTTTTGGCCGATCGACTGCTCAGGTAAGTCTCTGAGCTGAAGCGGACGTCGTGTTTCGAGGAAATTTCTCCGAATAACCTTAGTGAGTATACAGGTTTCAAACGGTTTTCTTAAAGGTATGAGGCCATAAAAGATAAGAGATAAATGTTATGACCCGCCTGGTACGTGAAATCCCGTGGAGCGTACACGCACTCGACCCTGGTTCCCAATACCAAAGCAGCAGACAAAGAACACGCGGCTGACCACGGAAAGTGTATTAGCAAACACTGCAAGTCGCGACTAGCTAAGGGTGACGTATACTTATAACACGCTACCGTGGTTCGACGGCATTCGGTCCAATGACCTTCGGGAAGAGGGGAGCAGCCAATGGGAAGGCGCCTGATTGAGATGACAGCGCTGTAGAAAGAGAGAGAGCAAACGCACGTGATCTCCAGTGATTGGTTAGCTCTTGTTTTTGGGAGTGTGGGCACTCCCAACACCTCCCCTCCAAGTGGGTCAGTACCGCTTTTGGCGTGGATTGATCTGCATCGGCAGCTTTGATCGGCGCACGCGGTTGGTTC